CCCCCACACACACACACACACACGCGACTCGCAAACCCTGACGCAGCTCTAGATTCCTCCTTATTGTAACTCCACAAGCCCCTCTTTCACCCCTTTTCTGAGGCGTGTCCCAGATCAACTCGTTTTGAGGCTGTCTCTTTAAATTCAAAGAGTCCATAATCACCGATAGAGGGGTTTACGACTAGATAGTGGTGCAGAAACATTTTAATTACAAATGAATTAAAATATGTCAACAATGGCCACAACGAGAAGAGAATGAAGGCCAGCAAACTGTCGGTAAGTCCAGACCTTGTTTGGCAGTTYCATCCTAAATAATTTGACGCAATAGCTCAGAAAATGTTATAGGAAATAAATTAAACTGAACAGGTTGAAAATTATGACGCAAACAGAAAATAAAGGTATCTTTGCAACTTTTCTGCGCTCCTGGAGGCTCAGAGTACACAACAAAATGCATTTAATGGCTAAAAAAGTGGATTTTGCRTAAGTAAAGTGAATGTTTATTGCAGAGTAATCAGTTTAAATTAAAGATGGCCACCAACTCTCTGCTACAACCACAACTTTTCCCTCAATGCAGTATCTGCAATTCTGAGTAAATCAAAGCTGTTATTGTGGTTAGCTGTGGAGGCCATCTTGGTTTGGATTGACTCCACATGTTGGCTGTAAACGTGGCTTCAAGGTTACTTTGTGTTCCACTCAAATCCGCCCACTGATTCACAAGTGATTGATTGATTGATTGATTTCTTTATTGTATTGTATGGAGCACAATTAAATTACATTTAAGATATTGTGTTAACAGTCCAGACAAACACACACCAGCAGGCCTGGCTGCCAACTCACTGAGGAGGAGAACAGCTGCTGGGCTTCTGGGTGAACTGAGACTCTTTTCAGGGGGAGTGCTGCTCCAGTAATCCCAAGGGAGGGGCAGAGAGGGAGGGAGGGAGAGAGAGAGAAGCTTCAATGGGATAAAAGCCATTTCCACCGACCCCCACTTCATGCTCCTGAGTACTAAAGAACAGCTGGACTGACTGCACATGTGTGACTGCAGATCTGAACGGGCTGCATGTGTTTTCAGTTGTTCAGTGGCTCCAGAGTCGCACATGCAAAGGTAGCAGCACGCCCTCTTGTGAGAGGAAACAACGTTACCAAAGCAGCTTCCTGAAGATGAATGCCCTGTGAGTTCAAGGGTTCTAATAATGTTGCATTTTGGTCAAACCTTGCAAATTAAACTATGCACAATCTCATATAAGGTGGTGAAGACAACACCCGACCACTATCACACCATCTTGAGTCAGAGTGACCCCAAGTTGTAGATAAACACCTAATGATTTTTGTCTGAGCGTTTCATTAAATTCATCCAGTGGTTCATGAGATATTCTGCTAACAGACGAACGGTGTCGGCACAAACAGTCAAAGATTTAAGTTGCTGCACAACGTGTAGCCTTAAAAGTATGTGTTGTGAATTTCTCTCAGCTACAACCACACCAACCTTCAGCTCGGTTAAGTTGGCTGGGTTAGAGTCATTTATAAATTTTCAACAGTCRGTTGGCTGTGGCAGCCATTTTAAACTGGTCTGACTCCAAACGTTAATCAGTTGTAGACGTTTATGCAATGGTCACATTCTGGAAGTTTCCCAAAAATCTATCGATGAGATATTTTGCTAAAGGCCCAGTCACACTAGACTTCTGCCAACTTATGAACATTTTACAGACATCTATGGATGGAATTGAAAAAAAAAATCAACAGGAAACTTCTTTTCAGTGTGTACATAATGTAATTCTAACAAACTGATCAAATGTATAACTTTTATTAGCAATTTAGACATAAAAAATGTTTCATAAGTTGGCAGAAGTTGTCTAGTGTGACAGGGCCTTAAAGGGATCCACGATTAGTTGTAATATTAGAC